CATTCCTTTAACTTTCAAAGATATAGTCTAAATCTAAACCAGGAAGGCAAAATGGAGAACAAGTCCGCCCGTGGATTATTAATGCTCTGCCTGTGCATAGTCCAGGTTGGGAGTGCTTTTAAATAGGAGTTCCTTTGAAATATGACAAACGGTGAGGAATAACAACAATAACAACACTATGGTGCTGCCTCTCCTCTACCCCCCAATAAAACAATCTGAAGAGGGTCCCCCTGTGTCTATATCCGCGTGTCTGTGTGTGGCCTAGTCCCATTCATCATTTAGCTCCCACTGCCCAACTCTCTCCATTTTGAAAATTATGCATGATACACTGAAGAGACAATTTGGGTTTCCCCCACCTCTCCCCTGCCCTTGAAGAAAGCAAGCCCTTGTCTCATTTGCATTTGCATTAAACCCCGCTTCTGTATAAGCTAAGCAAAGGGGAAGGACTCCAAGCCTATGGGATGGCTTTAGGGCTCTGCCCCTTGCTTTTGGCTTCTCTCTCATTCTCTCTGCTGCTTTGATCTCTGCTTAACAACAGTCACGTCACAGGGACTAACTATACAGGAGAGTTTTGTTGGAAGTTGGAAAGTTTTTCAGCCTCCAGAGGGCTGTAGCGGCAGTAGCAGCAAGCAGCATCCAAGGGACTCCTGGAAGGGGAAGAGAGAGAGAGAGAGAGAGAGAGAGAGAGGGACGAGCCTTGAGTCAGTCCTTTAGAAACCTGACTGTAGAAGAAGGAGGCAGACATGGAACATCAGCTGCTGTGCTGCGAGGTGGAAACCATCCGAAGAGCCTACCTAGACGCCAACCTACTGAATGACAGGGTCCTGCTGGCCATGCTGAAGGCGGAGGAGACCTGCACGCCCTTGGGCTTCTACTTCAAGTGCGTGCAGAAGGAGATCTTGCCCTACATGCGGAAAATAGTGGCCACTTGGATGCTGGAGGTGCGTATGTCCGGGGCATCGCTCCTGCCGGAGCCTGGAGGGGATGGAACCCGGGAGCCCCCCGAAACCCAGCAGCAGCGCCGGACATCCCGCGGCGGGGAGGGAGGGAGGGAAGGAGGGAGGGAGGCAGCAGCGTGCCCGGCTCCGGATCTAGCCGCACCATCAAGGCAGCGCGGCTCCCCCCCCG